GGGGGGGCTTTGTATTTCTGTTTTCTTTTCTTACTTTGTGATTTGGGAGAAACATTTATCAGACTTAGACTCCACCATAACTTAGCAAACAAACAACTTCTTGCCATTTCATCGATTAATCCACAAAAGATAAAAAGAATAAGGAAGATGACATACATCAACAATAGCCGTTGGATCTTTCTTTGTTGCGAAGTTAGAAAGTAGTGAATCCCTCACAGATCTTTCAATATTTTGTAACCCATGAGCAAGTTTTGTAATATGTTGTTCTCCAAGTGATAAATGTAGAGTTTCATTTGAGAAAGCTTTTCTGCTATCCAGATTTAAGAGAGACCCATTCTGTATAACAAAGGCACATAAAGGAGTAGTATGAGCTACACATGAAAAAAAAATGTGAAGTCAAAGAGTAATTAAATGCATTAATACTAAGTTCAATATATATTTAGACCATAATAGAATACGATGAGAATGAATGATGTGAAGTTCTACGCCTCTCTGGTAAAGGTATCTTCGACCTCATGTGATTACCGTTCTTCTGGCCGTTAATAATAAAAGCTTAAAAAGAAAACTACCATATTTGTGTAACGTTTTCATATGCGCACAGCCAAAGGTCTATATGTTTATAGCTCGAATTGTATGTTTTGGATGGCATTTACTACAATTAAATGAGACAAATAGTTGCGTACTAGCAATCGTGTACATTCTCTGTCATTCATGCATACATCTTCACTAAATTTTTATGGAAAAAGCAAAACCATACACATACAAAGAATTTATCCAAACATAATAAGGATAGCTTAGTGCGTTTCTCTCTTTAATTAAGGTGTGTTAGTTGCTTATTAAGATATGTTTTTAATCTAAAAACATTAAACCGATTATGGAACATGTCAAGTTTTTGTCTATTTTACTTCTTTATTAATTTTAGATAGAATTAAGCATGAAATATGTTCATTATTGATCAGTAAATTTGCGCTTCAATAAACTGATAAAGTACATTCACTTATTATGGAAGAATGCACTTGTAAGTTTATTAAAAAAATGTGACATATATATACCATATACATATCACTTATTATGGAAGAATGCACTTGTAAGTTTATTAAAAAAATGTGACATATATATACCATATACATATGCATACGAAAGGGGAAAAACACATACACACATAATGTATAAAGATAAAATGTGACATATATACCATTAGCCGCAACAGATTTGAAAAACACATACACACATAATGTATAAAGATAAAATGTGACATATATACCATTAGCCGCAACAGATTTGGTCATATATAGATTCAAAAACAATTCTACGATAGAAAACTCACTATTTTGCTAAGCAAAAGAGAGAGAAGCAATATATAGACAAAGCCAGGGAAACTATAAGAACCCATTGGTACAAATGATGTGTATGAATCCAAAACCTATTTATAAAGGAGAATCCAAAACCTATTTATAAAGGAGATCCATGTCCTTCCATTTTTTTCTAATTAAGCACCAAGGCTTGCTTGAAATGGTATTCAATTAAGGATTTAGCAAAAAAATGAAGTATTACACCATTTCAACCCCACATTTATGTGCATTAATTCAGTCCATTTTCCATCAAAACCAGAATCCTTTATTTTGAGAAAGTATCTAATGCATTCATTTTACTTCTTAAAATACAATATAATGAGGTAATGCATCTATCGGTCCATACATGGACCACTAATCCATTATCCACCTCAAGGTTCTCATGAAATGAAATTAAAACTTTCAATAAATTAAAAATATTTAAAAAACAAATTTTTTTAATATCACTATATCGTTTTTTCCGTTTTTCTTGTTTTTTTTACCTTCACCACTTTTATTTCTTTGGTAATTTTCTATTTTTTTATCATGTCCGCATCATAATAATTTGTGTACTTTGAAGTTGCTTAAATCATTATTTCAAAATTTGAAACTAACTAGATACGGTTTCGGTTTCGAATATGATTTTTTCTTTTTACTCGGATATGGTTATAGATATGGTTACAGATACATTAATCAGGCTCAACTAGCTGATACGGTTCGTATATCTGGATGTTCATTTTAAGAATATATATATATATATAATATATATAATATATATATATATTATATATATATATATAATATATATATATTATACTTATATATATATATATATATATATATATATATATATATATATGTGTGATGTGATGTCGTGTGTATATATATATATATATTATATTTATTATATATATATATATATATATATTATATATATATATATATATATATATATATATATATATATATATATGTGGTGCTGTGGTCCGTGTCGGTTGTGTGTGTGTGTGTATATATATATATTGATATATATCTATAATATGTATATATATACATATATATATATATATATACACACAACACACACATATATATATACTATATTATATATATATATATATATATATATATATATATATATATATATATGGTGTGTGTGTGTGTGTGTGTGTGTGTGGTGTGTGTCTGTGTGTGTGGTGTGCTGTGTATATATAATGCAATTGCCATGTACATGTTTCTTTAGATCCTTAATTACCTAAATAAAGTAACTAATGTTACAATTTTATTGTACGTATTAACCAAGGAAAATGTGTGTTTTTGTTGCAAGAAGGTAAAGGTAATCTTCTAAATGATGAAGTTGAAAATTGAGTATAAATATGTATAAACCAAATGTCACTGTTTGAGTTATGCTAAGCACGGATAGAAGAGCGCAATACAAAATGGTGTTGGATTTTTTGGTCAAAACCGCTTTCCAAAATGAGTTTTCAAACTATATATATTAACTATAAGTACTTTCATAAATGCTTAGTAGCCTACTGGAAAGTAAAAGTTTTGGTGTTTCAAAAGGTCCTTTGTTCGAGGCTTGCCAACGACAAGCCGAGAAGTGTTTTGTTTTATTTAATCCCTCATAAGTTCTAGTGGGTTGTGGGCCGTGAGCTCGTGGGCCAATGGGCCGATGATCGGGGCTAATCGGGCTGAGGCGCTTTGTAGGTGCACTTCGCACGGAGGCAAAGGTTGCCTCGCAGGCTGCTTCACAGCATGCGGACGAGCTACGCACTCTCACTAGGGTGCAACCCTAGCGTTCTCGAGTTCAGACGAAGCTCCTCTATTTGTCGAGGTTCGTCAATTCGACGAGACTCGTTTGGTTGGCGAGGTTCGCCCGTTTGACGAGGTTCGTCTTATTGACGAGGTTCATCTGTTGATACAAGTTTGAGGAGGTTCGCCCATTTAACGAGGTTCGTTCATTCGACGAGGTTCAAACTTTAGACGAGATTTGCCCGTTTAACGAGGTTCGCTCATTCGACGAGGTTCGCCCGTTAGATGAGGTTCGCCCATTTAACGATGTTCGTTAATTCGATAAGGCTCGTCAGTTCGACGGGGTTCGTTTGACGAAGTTCGTCTGACTTGCTGAGACGCGACCCTCACGATGCGTTGTAACGCATCTATTGATTGTCTCGCCTTTAGGCATTAATGCATGCAGCATTTACAATAGCATTTAAATCAATTGACGTTATAATCATAATTTTCATTATGAATTGTAACGATCACATTGATTGTATGTGACTCTTGAGCTTGCCTTGTAGGCCTATAAATAGTGCCCATTGGGCAGCTTTTGAGGTGTGCTTGGACATGCGAATTTGAGAGCTCTTGGAGACATAGTGCTATTGTGCTGCTGCTGGTGCAGAGCTTGTGCTGAAGGAACTCCTGTTGCAGAACCTATGCTTGAAGGTATTTTGCCTGAAACCGAAAGATTTTGAACCGAATGTTCTGAGATCAAGGAGATCTTTTGTCTTGATCGAAAAGTCTTTTAGATCGAGGGCATCTGCTAATATGGTGGCTGCTAACATGGTGGCTGCTAAGTAGAAGGCATCTGCTAACATGGTGGCTGCTAACTCTGATAAGGGTACCGATTTTTCTGCCAAGAAGAAGAAGAAGTCTTTCAACAAAAAGAAGAATCAAAACCCAAAGAACTAAAAGTTCAGAAGAAAGATTTCAAGAAGAGTGACAAATGCTTCAATTGTGGGAAACAAATGTATTTTGCCAAGAGCTGCAAAGCACCAAAGAAGAGAACATCACACAATGTTAATCAACTTGATAATTGTGTTGTTATGCTATTTCAAGTGACAACTTCCAACAACGTCTCTGGTTGATGGTTAGATACAGGTGCTACCTATCATGTCTGCTCCAACAGAGATTTGCCCTCTTCTTATGTTGTTGTCAAAGAAAACATATCAATAGCTGATCGTTCTGTAGTTCATGTTCTTGGAACTAGGACATGGTGATGACTCTTTTTTGGAAAGACTCACATTGAAAGATGTGAAACATGTTTCCTCAATTACTAAGTCTCTGGAAGCCTACTATGTGATGCTGGTATGAGGCTGGATTTCTAAGGAGGAAATGTTGTATTATCTTTTAAGAAGATGTACGTTGACAATGCGTATTGTACTGATGGCATATATAAGATCAGTAATATTATATCCAACTCAGTTATAAATAAAGTATCCTCTTTTGCTTATTCCTCTGCATTATGGCACAATAGACTGGGACATGTAAATTATAGAAAGCTATCTAGTATGAAAAAGTTAGGATTACTTCTGAAATATGGGGGGAACAAACCTGAGAAGCGTGAAGTCTGTACACAAGCAAAGCTGACAAGAAAGCCATTTCCAAGCGTCACAAGGAGCATCAACCTATTGGATCTAATTCATTCAGATACTTGTGACTTCAAAAGCTTCGTCACTCGAGGCGACATGAAGTACTTTATCACATTCATTGATGATCATTCTCGTTTCTATCACGTCTACCTGCTGAAATCTAAAGATGAAGCCCCAACAAGTTTGTCGAGTTTTGGACTCGAGTCGAGAAGCAGTTTAGACTTCAGGTGAAAAGACTAAGGAGCAACAGAGGAGGAGAGTACCGATTTAAGGAGTCAGAAACATACTTTAAGAGCATTGAATCATTGTTAAAACTACCGCTTCGTATTCTCTGCAATCTAATGGAATTACAGAAAGGAAGAATCGCACATTGACCGAGGTGGTAAATTTGATGCTAATCATATCTGGTCCACCTACATGCTATCAGGGAGATGCTTTGCTGATGGCAAACTGGATTCTGAATAGAGTACCCTATTCCAAAACTGATGCCCCTCATCATTTATGGTTGGGATATCCAGATTCTTTAGATGGTTTCAAAGTGTGGGGATGTCTCGTATATGTTCGAGTTTCAGATATCAGAAAGCCTAAGCTCGGACCAAAAGCAAACATATGTGTGTTTCTTGGCTTTGCT